TTCAGAACAGTGTGACATATACAAGTAACTGAGGGGCTGTCTACACTGCAGTTAGACACCCGCAGCTGGCCCATGCCAGCCAACTTGGGATCGTGGGGCTTGGGCTAAGGGGCTGTTTAATTGCAGTGGAGATGTTCGGGCTCAGCCCAGCTCCGGGACCCCTCCACCTTGCAGGGTTCTCAGAGTTTGGGCTCCAGCCTGAGCATCTACAGTATAAACAAACAGCCCCTTAACCTGAGCCCTGTACGCCTGAATCAGCTGGCACGGGCCAGCTGAGGGTTATTAATTGTAGTGCAGACATACCCATAATCACAAGAATGAAAGTACATACCTAAAGCACCCACTTAGTGGGAATCTAATAATTAGTTATCTATCTACCTACTTCTACTGTTAATGAAAAAGTAAGGCCAGATATTGTTCTTTCTCTGTTACCAGACCTCTATTCACTCCTCAACTGGAACTGAATCACAAGCCAATAGAAAACAAACCAAGTCTTACAAATCAGATTTTTTTTTGTATTAACCCTGAAGTTTATAAACTTCTTTAAGGGTCTCACATCTCCAAATGTGCACATTGTTTAGTGGTGGTGTGTGAAGTTAACATGAGGCCTATTATAGAGTGTGATCTGTTTTATATAGAAACATATTGTTTGGAACATCAAGAAAATTTGTTAGAAGAGATTGTATTGTCACCTAAGATTGTATTCCTTGAGAGACAAAATTCTTTCTGCAGTTATCTGAATTGTTCATCACATATTTCCCTTACCCCATCTCACTGGTTTGAGCATAACACAGGAACAGATTCTGACACCTGCTGCAGTTCTTTGTACCAGTCTGTTGGCAAAAAGCCACTGTACAGATGGCAGACCAAGCTGCCTGAATAATCTTCCAGCATGAGGGAACCGCCAGGTGGAGTATGCCTGGGGTAGTGGCCTTTATGCTATCTCCCCCCGCCCCCCACCCCCGGTCCATGGTGGAGGGGGTGTGGGTGGGAAAAAAGGTATGGCTAGAGTGCCCCCATGCCCTGGCAATCCTTGCCCTGCTGGAACAGCCCCTGAGACTTGGGCAGCGTGAGCAACTTAGAGCAGCCATGACCCTGCTCTAAATTGTGCCTTGGGATTGACCTGGTGCTTAGCGGCCTCAAGATCTGAGAACTATAAAGGTGGCTTCAAACCACTTTTCCAAACCCTGCCCCCCTGCAGCACAGACACGGCAGATCCGAGGACCTGGGCCACAGTGTCAGAAGAGAGGGAACATATGAAACATATTTTAAATGTATCATTAACAACAAATAATGATCTGTAAGAATTAAAGACAGTTAATTCATAAGTATGTGGAAACCAGTTGGGAAGATAAATCGCACAAGAGCCATCATTTTTCTGTGAGGAACTGCAGAATTAGCTTCATGTCCATTACTCTGCAGCAAGTACCAACTCTCCAACCAGATCCCCAATAACAGTACTACAGTATTTGTTGGTTTAGGCAATAACCTAATGGGTTATAGCAAACCAAATATAAAGAGTAACTATTTGGGGTAAGCGGTGCAGTAAGAACTGGGTTCAAATCCCAACTGGGTTAGAAATAAAAATGAGTTGGATGGTGTTAGGTTAGTTCCTGAGAGATGTTTGTCGTATGTGTCAGATACTGCACTGTTTACTACTAACAATGAAAGGACTGGAACAGCAAGTGTTGCAGGTTAGGAGTGAGATGCTTTTCTAGAGCTATGTGAAGAAGCTTGTACAATTCATGCCTGCACTAGGCACAATGGTGATCACATTCCTGGACTATAATCCAACTGCTATATTAGTCCACCACCTTCCTGAGCACCATATTCACCCAGTAGATAGTAAATAAACAACGCTAATAATGAATATACTATAATGATTTCTTCTTCAATAGCTTTCACATGAGCATCTCACAGCACTTCAGAAGCAGTAACCAATTCAGCCTCAAAGCCAGCGCTTCTTTGTGCTAGGTCAGATCATGCAGGAGTCTGTCCCTCAAACTGCCTCCATCAGGGGAGGGTTCAAACACATGAGGGCAACAGGGAATGTGTCCAGAACTGGTATGTATGCTTGCAAATGGAGTTAAGAGAATGGTGGATGGAGGTGTCCTCTTAAATAGGGGGAGGGAGAAGCTGTTTGTTCTCCACAAAACACGTCACTGGAACATAAGCCACAAGTATCACCGGGACATTTCAACTCATCTCTGATGGGCTGGGATCCCCATAATCCAAGGCCCCCTGCAGCTGAAGGTTTGGCAGCATTGCCTAAACCATCTCTGTACATGAATTCACTCACCACTAGTACATAGCCACTTCGCGGTGAAGCACAGCAGCTGTCCAATAGTGCACAAAACTACACAACAGGATAGGGCAGAAAGTGAAAGACGTCCAACAACTTGACACTCCGGGGGCATTTAGACCGGCAGAACCTAATTGCCTAGGTTGGAAAGTAGGTGGGACTCCAAGTGGTCAGGACCTCCATTTTACATTTCAATCATCTGCATTCATCCGTTAAAGCACCATGCCCATCTATGGTGCTGTATATATAACAACATTCAAACAGTAGAAAAAGAGAAAGGCTGGCGATGCTATCAACCAGTTTTGCTGAAACCATCCTCCCTCCATAACATTCATGCACATTTGAGCTTCTCCTTTCTTGGGTAAAGGGAGCTTACAGTAAAATATAATGGTTTTCTGAACATACGCATCATTATCAATAAAAAAATAATACAACACACACTCCTCTGGCAGGTTCCCATAAATATCTTCCATAAAAGTTCATTTTTCCACATGAACAAATTGTAAGTATGTGGGGGTTTTTTCCTCTGAATCTTGATACGGAACTTACAATTCTTGGCACTAGCCTGTGAAGTTAAAATGACATCAGCTTGACTTTCTAGACTGAAATTTTATAGTTGCTGCCTAACCACATTTCTTTGTCCTGAGAATATTCACTCTCCTCTTGGCTGCCTCTTTAATATGGCTTACTGTTCATGGGTATCATTAAAAGCTGTGCATGTGTATTCACTATAATTCCCCGTGTTCCATATCACAAAGCAAGTGGTGGTATGGAGTGATAAAGCTGCATTTCTCTCTACAAGACAAAGAGGCACTGTCAGTTTAGATGTGCGTGGCTTTGCCAACCTAATGGCTTTATAGTGGCATTGCCTAGTCTGTGACATGAGAAACCTGACTTTGCTATCCACCTCAGGACTGTTTCTCCCTAGGACCAGTGGAGTCCAGAACATACTGTGGGAGGTGACGCATGTTGGGGATAGTGGGGGCAGGTGATGACCACTTATTGTATGAATACAGCCCACAGGCTGAAGCCACTCTACCAACTATCAAACAGAGAAAATGGATGAACTGGAAGAGAGGGGGCAGTGGGAAAGTTAGTACCTCAAAATGTGAATGGGCTGGAGGATTCAGAGTGCAACCTGTAACAGCATTTGTTTGGTGTTGTGTGCAGTTAGGGAGAATACAAAGAGCCTGGGAATGGGGCAGGCTAGTGAGTGGCAACATGAAAAAGAATTAAACAAGCAATTATCTCAGTAATGGACACTGCCAGGATTTTCAGATGATGTGACCACTGATTTCCAAGAATGAAGACCCTAAGGACTGATTTCATGCCCAGGGTCTGTGATGATCTAAACTGTGGGGGAGAAGCAGGGGCAGGTACAACTTGTACAGTTCAAACCTCTGAATAGAGTTCAAGCTCTGTTTGGAGCACTACGTTTCATGCCTGCATTTCAAAATCAAATAGGGTTTCAAGAAAGAGATGATTTTTTACTACACCGTGTCTTTGAAAGCAACACAGCAAATATAAAGGCACTTAATTATCTGGCAACACTGCATCAAAAATACTCCAGAATAATAGCTCTGTTGTTATTTAACAGCACTAACATATACACTGTAAACATATCCAGTGTGATCCTAGAGTGCACAGCTTTAGCCTTTTGCATGGAGATTACACTGGTCAGACAACCCTGGGAGTGACTGTACTTAACATTCAACAAAACAAATCAGGTTCTAGTTTAGCATTAGGCTGACTCAAACAGAATAAAATCCAGTTTTGTTACTGCACCAAACCCTATTTCATCTATTCCCTAAACACTCAGCCTCTTTTCCATGTGACAGAGAATCAGCGCTGCTATCCTCTCTCCATGTAAGCTTATCATTTCATCATTTCACTCCTGTTGTATTGAAATAGCCACAAGACCAGATTAACAGTTAAAGATTGTGAAGCCATTTGCCAAATGCTTCTTGCTCTATTAGTAGCAACATTTTTGCAGTTTTCACACACAGACACACACAGAGATATATACACAGATTGCAGGAAATTTTTACCTTGCATGCAAACAGGAGAGATCCTGGTTTCCTCTCATGGATCAGAAGTCGGATAAAAAAAACACACCAAAACCCTGACAGACTCATCTGCTGAGAGTTCTCTAAATCCCAAGTCTGCTTCAGCTAGCGGCTCTAAGTTTGTGCTCTGAATAGAGGCTGTGTTATTTTAACCACAGGATTTCTAGTCATGGGGGAGGAGAGATGGATTAGGTACGTTTGCAATCTAATGCTTCACGTTTACCTCAAGTGAAATTAACTACTCTAAGCCTGATGTAAATAAGAACTTCTGAGATATAAATTTCAAGAGCCCTCAAACCAATTATGCCTAAACTAACATGTTAAATAACTGTGGAAAATTCCAGAGGAATAAGATAACATACTTTTGTGTTCTAAATAAAAGGCATGTGTGGAATTTCATGCTAGATACTGACACAAGTGAGACACAACAGATGAACTCTACAGACTAACCTATATAAGGTACAGTACCTTATACAGTAATGTTCCCAACACCTGTTAGGATGTATTTCATCAGACATCAGAGCAATTCGATTTATCATGATCCATGACAATTACATAGTTAGATGTAATATTTCAGTAAAGCAAATAGCATCTTTTTAGAATAAAAAGCAACATTTGTAAAGGGGCCTCACCAGGCTCTCCAGTTTTGTAGGTGCATAGGTGTTAGTCAGCAGGAGCAAGGAGATAACGAGAGCTCTTGAAACTATCATTTGCACTCGCAGACAGCTGTAGTCATAGTTAAATGCAGGAAAAAACTTGTGCCCACAAAACTTTTAAAAAATCAAGCTGAAAAGCTGTATTCATTGCCTGGTTTCTCATAACAGACACAGTGGTAAAGTATCATGGTTTGGCATGGGCTAAGTGACAGACTTCAGTGCTCACCTCAAAAGCAATGATTTACAAAAATTGCAGCCAATAGGCCTCCTTTCTGAGCTGAAAGTCATTTTTGTAAATAAAACATGCCCTTGAATTTTGGACTTAACAGAGGGGAATCACTTGCATGGGAAAAAAACAGTGAAAACAAGAATACACTCCAATCTGACCTTGACAACAAAAACACCATGAACAGAAATTTGGCTCCATTTTGAGTAAACCTAAGAGCTACAAATAATATCATCTTATATTTACATAATGCTTTTCATCCCAAAGCATTCCTAAGGCCTGGTCTACACTAGGCTTTTATGTCGAATTTAGCGCCGTTATATCGAATTAACCCTGCACCCGTCCACACCACGAAGCCATTTAGTTCGACATAGAGCCCTCCTTAAATCGATTTCTGTAATCCTCCACAACGAGAGGAGTAGCGCTAAATTCGAAATGGCCATATCGAATTAGGCTAGGTGTGGATGGAAATCGACGGTAATAGCTCCGGGAGCTATCCCACAGTGCACCACTCTGTTGACGCTCTGGACAGCAGTCCGAGCTCGGATGCTCTGACCAGCCACACCCCGGGAAAATTTGAATTCCTTTTCCTGTCTGGGCAGTTTGAAGCGCAGTTTCTGTTTGGACACCGTGGCGAGCTCAGCAGCAGTGGCAGCAGTGGCAACGATGCAGAGCTCTCCAGCAGAGATGGCCGTGCAATCCAATAGAAAGAGGGCCCCAGCATGGACGGATCGGGAAGTCTTGGATCTCATCGCTGTGTGGGGAGATGAGTCCGTGCTTTCCGAGCTGCGCTCCAAAAGACGGAATGCAAAGATCTATGAGAAGATCTCTAAAGCCATGGCAGAGAGAGGCTACAGCCGGGATGCAACGCAGTGCCGCGTGAAAATCAAGGAGCTGAGACAAGGCTACCAGAAGACCAAAGAGGCAAACGGACGCTCCGGATCCCAGCCTCACACATCCCGTTTCTACGAGGCACTGCATTCCATCCTAGGTGCGGCCGCCACCACTACCCCACCCCTGACCGTGGACTCTGAGGATGGGATATTGTCCGCGGCCGGTTCCTCAGCGGACGGGGAAGAGGAGGAAGGAGATGAGGAGGACGAGGCAGTAGACAGCGCTTACAACGCTGATTTGCCCGACAGCCAGGAGCTCTTCATCACCCTGACAGAGATCCCCTACCAACCCTCCCCAGCCGTTACCCCAGACACAGATTCAGGGGAAGGATCAAGCAGTAAGTGTTTTAAATATCCAAACATTTATTTACAACATAACTGGCATATTTAAAATATTAACAGTAGCTAAAGTGCTTTAAAACATGTAAACATTTATTTGCAACAAAACAGGAAGATTGAAAATATTAACAGTGGGTAAAGTGCTTAAAAACATGTAAACAGGAAAGTCAAACAAAAGGGGAATCAGTGCAAAGTGTATCATGATTACTCCGTCTTTGGGCGCCTCAATATATAGTCCGAACCATTTTAAAAAAATCTCACAATGTCCGCTTCATGATTATAGTGCCCAAAACCCTGCAGTCATTTGTCCCTCCAAGGGCACCTAAGCCAAGAACTGGTCAATGTAACCGGGGATCGAGGCGACATCCTCCGGGGAGAACTCCTCATACACCTCCTGCAGGTGTTTTTCAAGCCTCATCAGCAGGTTCCTGGGCAGGGACAGCTTATTAGGCCCCCCGTGGTAGGACACGTTTCCCTGCCACAACGCCAGCAGGTACTCCGGGATCATGGCCTTGCACAGCAGTGCAGCAAATGGCCCCGGTTTCTGCAGGCTGTCCCGGAGCATCTTCTCCTTCTGGCTCTCGGAGACCTTCAGGAGGGTGATGTCAGGCATGACTCCCTGCTGTGAATTAGGTAGGGGAAAGTTAGTATTGGGACTGCTTGCCCGTCCCTTTACAGAACTGCAACCGCCGGTTTACAGCCACGCGGTTTACAGCCGCGAGGGGCTGGGACAGGGCCAGAGTTCATGCTTGCAGGATTGCTGCCAGCAGAGACTCGCATTGCTTTCTATGTGAAAGGAGGCCAGTGCCACTCTTAAAGTTTTAAGCGGCCACAAGTCTACGGCTTACCATGTTTGCCATCTAGACAAAGTCCGGTGTCCTGCCCTGCTCCTCAGCTCGCCACAGCAAGACCGCAGGCACTGTAGGCGAGGGCCGAAAATTCGACCTTGTCCTCAGTGCGCGTGTGATAGGTGCTCTGCATGGTCTTGTTCACAGAGAAAGACTATGTTCTCTGTTCACAGATACATTGCTCTGTCTCAGGAATTCACTCCCTTTTTCCAATTCCCACAGCCACATCTGCCCAGAGGCTAGCGCACATTAGGAGGAGGAAGAAGAGGACACGGGAAGACATGTTTGCTGAACTAATGGAATGCTCCCGAGCACAGGCAGCCCAGCAGACACAGTGGAGGGAGAACTTGTCCCAAATGCACCGGGCAAACATTGAACGGGAGGAGAGGTGGCGACAGGAGGACAGGCAGGCTACTCAAACGCTGCTTGGACTAATGAGGGAGCAAACGGACACGCTCCGCCGCCTTGTGGATGTTCTGCAGGACCGGAGGCAGGAGGAGAGAGCCCCGCTGCAGTCTCTCTGTAACTGCCCTGCCCCGCCACCAAGTCCCATACCCCCCTCACCCAAAGTCCAAACACGGAGGGGTGGAAGGGGCCGGGAAAAATTTCACTCCACCCCTGCGGACTGCTCTACCACTAGAAGGCTCTCATTCCCCAAAATTTGAAAAGTCCTTTCCTACCCGCCTCACACAAGACCCCGTCCAAGTTTCACCCCCCCGTTCCATGTGCGGTTGTTAATAAAGAATACGTTTCTGTTCATTTCTGTTTCCATCCTCTTCTTTTGGAGGGGAGTCTGTCTGGAGGGGGGGGAAGGGCCTTGGTCATTGGACAGGACAGTCACCTTTAGCAGGGGGCAGGTGCAGCAGCAGGGCACATATACAGTGCAGTGACTAGTTATCCTGGTCAGTCTGGGAGGTGGTTTTCATGTTCTGTGTGGTGGGGGCGGTGGTGTTGCTCTGTGACTTGGTGGCGGGGGAGGGCAGTTACAGATCTTATGCAGCGGTCCTTACCCTGGATCACAGAGCCGCGCAGCAGGGGATCTGTAACCCTCCTCCCCCTGCAAGACAGTCACATAGCCGACACATACACGCAGTCCCGGCCAGGAGGGCTGGCAGGCTCCGTTGAAACAACCAGTCCACCATCGCGGAGCCTGTCATTCCTGGAGTTTAGAAGCATCATTTGCATCACAACCCTAAACCCGCTCCCCGCCACAGTCTGCGTCCCAGGTTTAAAACATTCCCGTGAAAACAGTAATAAAGACAACGGTGTCCATGAACAAAACAGAACAGATTTTATTTTTTGGGAAGGGGGTGAAGGGGGTATGTAATTGGAGAGGATAGTCGACGGCAACTGGGTAAAGAAACGGGGGCAAGTTCAGCTTCTGTGTCCACAAACTTAAAAGTCAATGGGTACCCTGCTCAGCCTTGAAACTGGCTTTCAAAGCCTCCCGGATGCACAGCGCGTCCCGCTGGGCTCTTCTAATCGCCCGGCTGTCTGGCTGGGCGTAATCAGCAGCCAGGCTATTTGCCTCAACCTCCCACCCCGCCATAAAGGTCTCCCCCTTGCTCTCACACAGATTGTGGAGCACACAGCAAGCTGCAATAACGATGGGGATATTGGTTTCGCTGAGATCACAGCGAGTGAGTAAGCTTCTCCATCTCCCCTTGAGACGGCCAAAAGCACACTCCACTACCATTCTGCACTTGCTCAGCCGGTAGTTGAACAGTTCTTTTTCTGTGTCCAGGGCGCCAGTATAGGGCTTCATGAGCCAGGGCATTAGCGGGTAGGCTGGGTCCCCGAGGATCACTGTAGGCATCTCCACATCCCCAACAGTTATCTTGTGGTCCGGGAAGTAAATACCTTCCTGCAGCCGTCTAAACAGACCAGAGTTCCTGAACACGCGAGCGTCATGAACCTTGCCCGGCCATCCGACGTAGATGTTTGTAAACCGTCCCCGATGGTCCACCAGTGCTTGCAGCACCATTGAAAAGTACCCCTTTCTATTGATGTACTGGCTGGCCTGGTGGCCCGGTCCCAGGATAGGGATGTGAGTCCCATCTATAGCCCCACCGCAGTTTGGGAATCCCATCGCAGCGAAGCCATCTATGATGGCCTGCGCGTTTCCCAGGGTCACTACCTTTGACAGCAGTACCTTGACGATTGCCTTGGCTACTTGCATGACAACAACCCCCACGGTAGATTTGCCCACGCCAAAGTGGTTCGCGACTGACCGGTAGCTGTCCGGCGTTGCAAGCTTCCAGAGGGCTATGGCCACTCGCTTCTGGACAGTCAGGGCTGCTCGCATGCGGGTGTCCTTGCGCTTCAGGGCAGGGGACAGCAACTCACAAAGTTCCAGGAAAGTCCCCTTCCGCATGCGAAAGTTTCGCAGCCACTGGGATTCATCCCAGACCTGAAGCACTATGCGGTCCCACCAGTCCGTGCTTGTTTCCCGGGCCCAGAATCGCCGTTCAACAAAATCCACATGCCCCATTGCAAACGTGATGTCCTCGGCGCTGGGTGTCGTGGTTTCTGACAGCTCTGTGCTACTCTCCGACTTCAGGCCCTCACTCCGCTGCCGTAGCCTCCTCGCCTGATTTCTCTGCATCTGCCTCTGGGAAAGGTGTATGATAAGGTGCGAGGCGTTGAGAACGGCCACAACTGCAGCGATGGTCGCAGCGGGATCCATGATCGCAGTGCTGTGGCGTCCGCGCTGTCACTGATCAAAAAGTGCGCGAACTGATTTCCCGCCGGCGCTTTCAGGGAGGGAGGCAGGGCGGTAGTGACTGACGGATGACGACAGTTACCCAAAAGCACCCTCGCCACAATTTTTTACCCAGAAGCCATTGGGGGCTCGACCCAGAATTCCACT